TTTCACTGTTCAAATATATCTTTGGATCAAAAGACACCATGTGAAATACAACTTACATAAACATTTAGTATAACACATATACATTACATTATCCTGATTTTTTTCTCTCTCTACCATGCAACAAAACCTTTATTAACATTTGACCTCAGGTCCAAATGGCACACTCCCCTCCTGGATCATGCCGGTAATGAGATCTCTCTTCCTGGTTCTCAGAGGGTTGATTGTATACATAGCAAGATGACACTCCAGGGAATCTTGCTTACAATTACTCACAGGTGAATTCTATCAGTATCTTTCCTTACCTTCTTATCAGACCCTTGCAGGCAAAGATCATTTGGTAGGAGTTACAGACTTAGTCTAGAAGAGCCACATTAAATAATTCACTACCCTTGCAGATCTTTGGGGATATATATATGTGTGTATTCTGCAAATAGAGTTTTTTCCTTTTGTGCCAATTTGGATGCCTTTATTATCTTTTTGATATCTTATAGCTCTGGATAAGACTTCCAAGACTGTATATAATAAGAATAATGATTAAAGAGCAATCTTTTCTTGTTCCCATTCAAAGGGGGAATATTTTCCTTTAATTCCTATTTTATTAAGTCTTTTTTTTTTTAATCAAGAATGGGATGTTGAATTTTATCAAATACCTTTTCTGCATCGGTTAATATAATTATTACATTTTGTTGATTTGTTTATGTGATGGATCACATTATTTGTTTTTCTTAAATGGATCCATCCTTGAATACCTGATAGAATCCCACTTGATCATGATGTGTTTTTTAAATGTTTGTTAAATCCTGTTGACTATGTGATTTTGTTGAAAATATCGACATCTATATTCATTAGGGATAATGGTCTATAATTTTCAATACTGGTGATGTTTTTGCCTGGCTTAGATATCAGGATTATACTTTCCTCATAAAATGAGTTTGGTAGTATTTTATCCTTTTTATAGTCTGAATTAGTTCATGTAGGATTGATGTTAACTCTTCTCTATATGCTTGGTAAAATTCCCCAGTAAGATCATCTGAACTTGGACTTTTTGATGTTCAGAGGCTTTTAACAACCAGATCTATGTCTTCATGTGTTATAGGTCTACTTAGATTTTCTACATCAGTATGTGTTAAGTTAGGAAGGTATTGTGTTACTACACATTTATTCATTTCTTCTAGATTTTCAGGTTTGTTAAAATACAATTTTTCATAATATTGTGTGATTATCATTTTTATTTGTTAGTAGTTGTTTTTTGATATCACCTATTTCATTTTTTTTTCATATTTACTTTTTCTTTGTTAGATGTGCAATAGTTTGTGGATTATAAAGAGACTTTTCCCCAGCTTTGTCTCCCCCCAAGAAAGCCAAACATTAGAGGCTATTTTTGCCAGCATATGGTGGGAGGTCAGATGCTTAGAGACATCCTCCCTGAAGGCAGTCAGTTGCCAGACAACTGTCTGGTCCCACCACAGGTAGGGCCCTCTCCCTGCTGTTAAGGACAATGGGCTACTTCTCCCTAAAGGCTTGTGGCCACCAGTCCTCGTCCCTATAGATGGGTTCTATAGTGAGCCAGAGAAAAGGTCAAACTGGCTCAGTGACATCCAAAATTAAGCTGCCTCCTTGAATCTGGGATCCACTCGTCTTGTCACATATGTACCTCCAATGCTCCCCTTCCTATCCCACCCCCTCCCATTACTGTACTACCTATAGCACAACTCTTTCCTGTGATGTATGTCTTCACCTGTAATTAGGGGGCTTGCATGTTCCCAGAGAACATATAAGTCTTAGTTAACAATAAATCTCTCGCTCTCTCCACATGGCCCACCAAGTGAGGCTGAGGTGAGCATGCTACTATGAAATGTGTCTGACTCCATTATTTCAATCTCCCTTCTATCTTTCATGCTATGACTTTGCGATAATCTTTACTTATTGTGGCTGTACAATTGCGCCGACTGGACCTGTGATGACGTGCTAGGGGCTCTCTGCCCTGACAATAGTTTATCAATTTTGCCAATCCTTTTGAAAAAACAACTTCTTTGGTTATTTTTTTCTATAGATTATTTTTATTCATTTATTCTACTCTAATCTTTATTATTTTTATCCTTGTGTCTGAAGATTGTTTGTTGCTCTTGTTCAAATTGTTGTAACTGATGTGCTAAAATGTTTCTTTTAATTTTTCTTCCTTTTTAATGTGTGCTTATTGCTCTAAAATTGCCCTTTGACTATTACTTTTTGTTGCGTCACAGATATTTTGGTATATTGTATTTTCATTCTTGTTTCTTTCAAGAACACATCTTTAATACATCTTTGATTCATCTTTAATACATGTTTATACATGGGGTGAGTTATGAACCCTGTGTTATTCTTCTGCAGGAGACCCAATTTTGCCAGCACCATTTGTTGAAGAGATTATCCCATCCCCATTTAGTGTTTTTTGGCCCTTTGTCAAAGATCAGTTACCTGTAGGTAATTGTTTTTCTGGTTTTAAATTCATTTACTTCTGTCCTAATCTTTATACTTTTTCTTCTAGTGATCGAAGGTTTACTTTGTTGTTTTTGTTCTAATTGTTGAAGATGGTTGGTAAAGGTATTGATTCTGGTTGTCTTCTCTTTCTTCATGTGTACATGGATTGCTATAAATTTCCCTCCAATGACGGTTTTTTCTGCACCCAGAAGCACATCCAACTGCAGCTGGGAGGCCAGGGGTTTGGGAGGGCTCAGGTGTGCATCTCAGTGTAAGCTCAAGGGGGTAGGAAGGCTCAAGAAGGACTGCTCTTCACATCAAGTTGTAACAAGAAGCAGCTGGGGCCCTATGGGGTTGGGCGGGCTCAAGAATGACTGTTCTCCATGATGAGAGAGCCAGACCGCAGCCATTTGGGTTTAAGTCACTCATGTTTAGCCATCATAACTTTTGTTACATATTTTTCATTGTATGTTTTTACCATTGCCAAGGGTTCAACAAGAGTGTGGAATGTTCACTGTTTTTTGAACCATACTTGAGTTGATTTGACAACTCTAGCTTTCTCACTCATTGTGTAAGATTGATAAGGAGCGGTCATTTGGAAAGTAGATGTGGAGATAATAGGTTATACAATTCTTTTATGAACTCATTATGCTTTCTGTACTTTCTGAATTTATAGTTTTTTGTAGTCTGTTATGTATTCTAAGAATTATAGCACACCTGTATGTAATAATGATTAATACTATTAGAAGAAATCAGCATAAATATCACTTGGAAACTCTGGATAATTCAAAGAACCAACAAACAGCCTTTGTTACTGTTGGATACTTCATCGACAAGTCTCCTAGCAAGCAGGTTCCCTCGATCTCTGTTCCGCTTGGAGTAATTATTAATTACGCTAGTCCGATTAAGCCTCTGGCAGATCCCATCTAGCGAGGGACTTGAACAGCTTGACTATCAGACAGACATTATTGTAAACTTGATTTTGGTGGATCAAACCATAGTGTACATCCCGCTTTCGTGGGGCGCTGGTGCCACCACAGTGGTCCTGGAGCGGGGGTTCCCGGGGCCCTTCGTCCCTGGGCACAGCCCTCGCCAGGGCTTCGCCACGCCCAGTGTCCAAACTGGATCCCGAGGACAGAGGCCTGGCTCCTCTGGAAGGTGCATGAGGCAGCCTTCCTCTTGTGGTTCCGAAATGGCCTCCTGGTGTCCGGTATTGGGCTCATCTCCTTCATGCAGAGGGACATGGGTCGGGAAGCTGTCTACGGCTTCTTGCTGGGTGGCCTGTGCGTGGAATGGGGCAGCACCTCGGGTGCCGCTGTGGGGGTGGGGGCCGTGCTGGCGGTCAGCCTACTTTGGGCCTGAGCAGTCGGCCTCTACATGCGTCAACCCGAGCTGGACGGGGAACTGGTGCCTGAAGACGACCGGACAGCTGAAGGCCCTAACAGGACACATGGCCACCGCCTGAGTGACTGCAGCTGCTGGCCCTGAAGGCAGGACAGCCTTGGGCCCGCAGGCCTGGACATTAAAATCTTACCCTCCCTTCCAAAAAACAAAAACATAGTATAATATAAATTTTGGTCAATTGACCTATCTCTTGACCCAACCTGAGTTTTCTCTAGCTCAAGTATTTCTTGCTTGTTCCACACTGGCCTTTTAACTATTGATGGTGGTATTTTCTTTCTTACTCTTATTTGTATTTTAATATTTATATTATTATTATTACTTTCTTTTTGCCATTTTGTTTTTGTTTTTATTGCTCCTGTTTGGTTTTCCAGTTTGTGAAACACAGAAGGAGTGGATGATAGTGACAATAACTGATGCAATGGTTTAATCGGGGATGTGGAGAGGGAAGGCGGGATAGGGGTGGGTGGGTGAGTGGAGGTCGTGGGGAGGAGACAAGCCAGTCAGGGTGCAGTGCAGCAGCAATGAAACATACAACTTTCCTCTAGTTCCTAAATGCTTCCTCCCCCCACAACTATCATGATCCCAATTCTACCTTACAAATCTGGCTAGACCAAAGGATGTACACTGGTACAGATAGGAACTGGAAACACAGGGAATCCAGGGCGGATGATCCCTCCAGGCCCAGTGGTGAGAGTGGCGATACAGGGAGGGTGGAGGAAGGGTGGGGTAGAAAGTGGGAACTGATTACATGGATCTACATATAACCTCCTCCCTGGTGGACAGACAACAGAAAAGTGGGTGAAGGGAGACATCGGACAGTGTAAGATATGACAAAATAATAATTTATAAATTATCAAGGGTTCATCAGGGAGGGGGGAGCGATGAGGGAGGGGGGGAAATGAGGAGCTGGTGCCAGGAGCTTAGGTGGAGAGCAAATGTTTTGAGAATGATGAGGGCAACGAATGTACAAATGTGCTTTAAACAACTGATGTATGTATGGATTGTGATGAATTGTATGAGCCCCAATAAAATGATTTAAAAAAAGAAGAAAAATAAGAATAAGAACCACAAAAAAAAAGAAGAAAAAAAAAAGAGGTGCACAGGCCAGCCCCTCGGGTTCAAGTGGAGAGGCGGTCAGGCTCCAGCAAGCCTTCCACCTGCTAGCATTCGCTTTCACACTTGCTGTGGGACCACCAGCCTCGTCTCCTTCCAAATGGACCCCAACTGCTCCTGCGCCACTGGTGGCTCCTGTGGCTGCTCTGACTCCTGCAAGTTCAAAGACTGTAGAAGCACATCCTGCAAAAAGAGCTGCTGCTCCTGTTGCCCTGGGGGCTGTGCCAAATGTGCCCAGGGCTGCATCTACAAAGGGGCATCGGACAAGTGCAGCTGCTGCGCCTGATGGGAAAGCCGATGTGAATAGACTGGCCTGTCCAAAGCCGAAAATTCTCTCTCAAACGACCCTCACGTCTTTGCTACCTCCTTTTAATTTCTACAAAATATATGAAAGATGATCATAAAAGTTGGTGACTTTAAAAAAAAAAAAAGAAAGAAAAGAAAATTAAAGATATGGAAACAAAGCCCAGTCATCCCAATACTGGGCCCAGAACTAAATGGTGCCTGACCTCTACCAACTGCCTGAAAAGAACAGTAGAAGTTCCTAGATAGAGTGGGAGGAAGAAATAGAGAGTAAAACCCAAAATCATAAAAAAAGGCCAGGCTTACTGGTGCAATAGAGACTGGTGGAACCTCAAAGACTAAGCCTTTAGTCAACCCTCAGGTCTAGAACTGAACTCATCCTCATGTTAGAATAATCACTCTTTATGATCAAAAGGCAGCTTTTACCCAAGGGCAAAGTTCAGAGAGCAAAGAAAGAAGGAGTGATAGAAACAGGAAACACGAGGAGGAAGGAGGATAAGAGATGGTACACTGAGTAAGTTGCAAAGGATAAGCTGAGACAAAATGTATATGAATTGTTGAATGTAAAACTGATGATCTACTCGGCAAGGCTTCACCTAATTCACAGTAAAAAAAAAAATTTAAGTATGTTATGTTGACACCTTATAAACCATCATACATATATTCAAGAATAATCACAATAATTTAATAAAACTGCCAACAGCAAGTAATTAGTTGTATTTTAATTTAGCCTAGGTGGCAAATTACTTAATGTGCACTAAATGTCATTCTATAATTAATCATAAAACAAGGCATTTAAGAGAAAATAAAATCTGTGAACTATCAAAAAGCATTTAGAAACTTTGTATTTTAAATTTCAACAAATAATTCAAGGACTATTAGGTCTCTCTCTTATGGGAGAAATACCGGGGTCCTTGGCTTCTCTGAGAAAGAATTCATGCTGAAGCCTGGCTTGTGATCCAAGTCAGTTTATAGAGGATAGAAGCCACCTAAGTGCATGGGAACTCTGCCCAGCCGCTCGGGCAGCAGCCCAGTCAAGGCGCACTGTGCGTCTGAGCCGCTGAGAGGGAGCCAGCGCAAACTCCTAGCTTTTCAGCCCCAACCCCCACTCCCTGACCTCACCCCCACCCCCAGCCCACCCCCAGCTGGGAGGCAAGGTCGAAGATACCGGTTGCTCCATTGGCTGAATTAAGCTGACCTGGCCTAGATGGTTTACTGGCTTCCTGTCTCACAGACCTGAGTGTGTGCATGCCCTCCAGCCTTAAGCGCTTTCGACGGCCTGTAATGGGGGAGGGAGGCTTTGGGATGTAGAGAGACAAGCAAGCCCTAGTTCTGCCTCTAGCTGCCTAACAGGACTTCAAATGACTGGAAGCTCAGTGTCAAAGAAAAAATTAAGTAACCTCTTTGTTGTATATACTAAATATATTTAACATATGAGAGCAAAACTGAACAGAGGAATTTATCCTGAACTATTGCTTAGTATATTCTAAGCCCTTTGAGAAGAAGAGAAATGAAAAGAGAAAGATAGTGAGAGGGAGTCAGAGTAGCTTGTTAAATTAATTTTTTAATGGTTATAAAAGTTATTTATTTATATTGAGATGAGCTTGTTTGTCACTAAAGACTCCAAATCCACCTCAACTTTACTTTTCCTTTTTTTTAATGAAATTTTAAAATGCAAGACTCCCTGGACTAGAATTTAGTTTAAATCCAAACAAATTACATTCACTAATTTTCTTAAGAGTTTTTCTTAGAAAACAAAACAAAATGTGCAGACCTGGTTGTGCTGTGGCAACAAGCAATAAGAAAATTATTTTCTTTATTGGGACTGTGTTCAAACCAAAAAATATTATGTTAGAGCTGAAGTGCAAATGCGATGTCTTCTTAGAAATGTTTGAGTCTAATTGGGCTGATTTTTAACTCTCTAGCTTTCTGTGATTGACAACTATTGTCTTCTGCCTGCTTTCTTCAAACCTCAAAATTCATATTAAGATTTCTAAAGGCCTACTATTCTGAAATCAGAAACGCTATCCAAAAGCAACAACAAAATTAGTCATTTGAAAACCATATGGAATACAGTTCTACTCTGATATACCATGAGTTGGACTCAACTTGACAGCAACTAATAGAGATGATATTTATGTGAAGTTGTGTGTGTATGTATGTGTGTGTCTACTAGAAAATTTCAAGTTGCTCAGGTTCTACTTCTGTGGTAGAGTGCTTTCCACTACTCAAATACCACCTTCTCCTAGTAGCCTCCCTCAGGACTCTAACCACTGCTCTCTGTCTCCTTATCCGGCTATATTTTTGTCCATTGCCCTTTTGTACATGGCTTTATGTTGGTTAATTATTTTGATCTCTTACACTAAAATGATGGTGATACAAAAGGAAGGGTTTTGCTTCCACAGCACTAAGAAGAAGGCCTCATATGCATGTGAAAGTTGGATAGTGAAAAACGGAGACAAAAGGAGAAATGAAGTTTGAACAGTGGTATTGATGAACATTGAATATACTAGGCCAGTGGTTCGCAACCTTCCTAATGCAGTGACCCTTTCATACAGTTCCTCATGTTGTGGTGCCCCCAACCATAAAATTATTTTCATTGCTACTTCATAACTATAATTTTGCTACTGTTATGAATCATAATGTAACTATCTGATATGCAGGATGTATTTTCATTGTTACCAATTGAACATAATTAAAGCATAGTGATGAATCACAGGTTTTAATTGCCAAATTTGGGGCTATGTCTAGTTTTAAAAGATAAGCCCATTTTTCCTCTATAACCATGTTTCAGGTCACTTATTCTTATGAAAAGGATGTTTCCATCTCTCTCTAAATTTTTTGAAAAAGAATTCTGTACTCTTGAACTTATACCACATCCAACAAGCAGTTTTGGTATCCTCAAGGGACTCAAATAATAATATTTTCTTCCTTTTTTAAAAAAAAAACTTTTTTATTGTTAGTAGGGTGAAGATTTACAGAGCAGATAATAAATTTTACATTAAGTGATTTATATATTCTGTTTCTGTGGGATACAGAAAGATTTCTCCCAAGTTGTCTCACCCAAATATATGCCAAACCCAAGACGCTGCTTGCTACCCATGGTAAATGGCTGTATACTACGTCAACGAAAGTAGGTCAGAGGTTATTCTCTTTAAGGGTATCAAGAGCAACAAGACTGTATAATCTGACTCACCCCAAGTAGGGCCCACTCCCTTCTGATATTGTTCCCTTGAAGAAACTCCCGAAGGCGAACCCGGGACCATTTAAGGATGACTAAGGTTAGACTACTATATTGAATCTAGGATCCACCCATCTTGCCACATATGTACCTCTATTCCCTCCCTTTACTATTGCATGTACACCCCTAGGTCATCTCCCTCCTATTGCTTGTATTGCCTATGTTACAATCCCTTCCTATGACGTAGGTCATTATCTGTAATCAAGGGGCTTGCATGCCCCGAAGATATATAAGCTTTGGTTAGAAATAAAACCTCAGGAGATGTTCTCTCTCCTGCCCACGCCTCCCTCACCTCCACATGCACCACCAAGAGGAGCTGAGGTGAACATGCTACCATGAAATGTGTCTGACTTCTTTATTTACTCTCTCCCATCTCTCTATGATTTTACTATAATATTTATATATCTTAACTGTACAATTGCGCCTACCGAACCCATGATTAGTTGTGGGGGGCTGGCTAGATCACCCATCCCACCTGTGCCCTGTGTTCCCCATTTCCATGCCTCCTTCATGCCTGACACCTTTGAGCTTTGTTCTTGAGTAAATGTTACTGATTTTGATCCCAAAATACTTTGTAGGATGTAAACATCAAAAGTGTCATTATTAAAAAAATGTGTTATTGTTTCTCGTATAGACCTGTCTATTGTTTGGCTGAAAACTGAGCCACAGGATGAGTTCAGTTCCAAACTGGGAGGGTGACCGAGGTTGTAGTCTCAGAGGATCTACGAATCTTTATTCAACCAACAAGGCTTGTATCTTCAATGAGTTCTGTTTTCACCTTTTTCTTCCACTCTATCCAAGATCTTCTGTGTGATGGCTTTCAGAGTAGTAGTGAGTGAGGACCATCTAGTTCTTTTGATCTCAGGGTCATGGAGACTGATGGTTGCCCATCATCCACGGTTTCCATGTGACTTCAATTTTTATCATTTTTCTTTACTCTGGACAGGAAGAGATCAATAACTGCACGTTAGATGACTGCTGATGAGAGTTTAGGACCCCAGTGGCTAATCACCAAAGTAGCATGTAGACTTCGTAGACTATGTTATGCCTGTTGACTTTGATGTCCCCTGAGACCATGGTCCTGAGACTCCAGGCCAACAAGACATTTCCTCAAGGTGTTTGCTTATATCTAAGAATTTTTCATAATTTTGTCCTCTGTATGATTCACCACACTCATGGATATAATTGCAGCAAAAGTGAATACAAATGTACAAATATCCTGTCTAATATATATACATATATCATGGGTATCCTACATGCCCCCTTTCACAATTGTTCAGCCTATGGCCTATCCATACATATATTCATAGATCAGTCATTGCAGGATCGTGTATATAACAGTATTTAATTCATGCTCTTCTCCCAGTGTCTTCTCCTGCCTTCATCATTTTTGGCCAATAACCTGCCTATTGTATATTGCTTTCTCATCCATTTATGTTCTTGAAATATACTTGACTTCTCTTCTTTTGAAAATTCTGTAACTATATTATGACCTTTTTTACTTGGAATAGTTTTCATTGCAAATAGACTGATAACCTTTTCTCCAGTCTTATACGTTTGTTTACTTTGGATACTTCTATATCTGGGTTAACTTCTGAGTGGTGTCATGATATTAATGTCAAGTTGTTTTCTGCCAAGTAGTTCTCTGACTTAAGAATTCTCTTTAGGAATCCAGGACAGATAAACCCCTCAGGACCAATAATGAGAGTAGCCATACCAGGAGGGGCAGGGGAAGGTGGTGTAGAAAGGGGGAACTTATCACAAGGATCTACGTATAACCCTCTCCCTGGGGGATGGACAACAGAAAAGCGGTGGAAGGGAGATGTCAGACAGTATAAAACATG